TGATGATGATGATGATGATGATGATGATGATGATGATGATGATGATGATGATGTTGTTGTAGCTGTTGTTGTTATTGATACCTTTGTCCCTTTGGTAAGAACATCAACGCTTAAGTCAACTCACACAAATAAATACAGAAGGCAAGCAATGATCGAGGATCTCCTAATGATGCTCTCAAATCACCTGAAAATAGCTAATATCAATCAATTAATGAATAAATACGTAAATAAATAGATGAAAAGTAAAAAATATAAATAAATAAATGAATAAATAAATAGATAAATAAATAAATAAATAAATAAATAAACAAATAAATAAAACAAAGTAAAATAAAATAATTTAAATATAACAAAACAAAAAAATTAATAAAATGCATATTGAACAAAACAAACACTGTTTTGTCAGTTACATGAAATTTACAAACATTTAACCACAGTTACCGAAAAAAAGGGGAATTAATAGAACAAAATTATAATCACCAGCCACTGGTTTAGTTCCCGGATATGTGTATCCTCCTACAACAACTTATTATATATCATTCACTTCGTGATTTCTCAATGGTCAACTGGACCTTGGTGTGCGTCGGAGCATCACGACAGTTAGTTCTCGAAAAACCTGAACAACACGCCGCATCGCTGTCAATCTACAATGTAGTTCATTAGCATAACACTAATTCCAGCTTCGTTAGACCGTGTTCGGCTGACCCCACGCAACGGAGTAAGGGATACAGCGCATAAGCGAAATCTATACTTAAGGAAGACGACAATGAATGATTGGGCTCTGTCTTGGCTGATGATGTCTATTATGACTATGAGCTATGAGTATTAACAATACTGACTATGTGAATTGAGCATTCGATACTTCGAAAGTGCTTAGCCGATACATCCAACTTTTTCTGAGAAAATTTGTCAATAGCATGCTTTTCGATAGCGTGCTTTCCCAGTCAAAAGAAGGTTCTGCTCAGTAGGCCTACCTGTCCCCGTCGTTTTATGCAAGAACAATTCTGAAATTATGCAAACTGGGCCCAGAAGTGCGAAATTATACGATTCTGTTAATTTTAACAAAGAACGAAAAAGGAAAATAACCAGAAATTATGCAAAAAATGACCAAATTTTGCTAAATTATGCTGGGTGCATAAAACCTCGGGACAGGCCTACGAATGATTTTAATCTGAACTAAATTTGGAGAGGACGTGTGATCTTGTGTATGTGACTTTGTAAGCGTGCGTGTGTTGGTTGGGGGTTGGGGAGAAGGGGGAGTTGTAAGTGAGCCCACCCTCTTTCCCTGAGTCTCTTCTTTCTCCTCCCACCCCCTCTTTCTCTCTCTCTCTCTCTCCTCCAACTCATTTTTACCTCTGCCATTATTATTTTATCTCTCTCTCTCTCTCTCTCTCTCTCTCTCTCTCTCTCTCTATCTATCTATCTATCTATCTATCTATCTATCTATCTATCTATCTATCTCGGCGCGCGCGCGGAGCCCACACACACAAACTTACACATACATTTACCCATACTACCTTACCCCAGCAAACAGACGTCATCGTACAAGAAAAACCGAAGGCTCTTATCGCTCTTGAAATTTTCGCAAATTAAAAATAAATGTATTTGAGTATCCACGTCAGAAGTACCCCACAAAACACTCAAAATTTCCAAATATCGACTCCGGAACAACCCCAGTAAAACGACAGTCGCAGTTCGATCAGTACAACAATGGCCCCACACTAAGGAGTGGACAAATAATTACCTATGCCATGATCCTCGGGCCATGATTACGACAGAGACCTAGGTGTGTTTCCCTTAGCTTTTGGGAGGTGACTTGGCGCACGCATATTTCTGTATTACTGTGATTACGTTTGTGTCATGTGTTTGTATGATTTATATTTGAACTGCTGCTGTAAATATAGCTGTTTTACTGTGAACTTGTTTGCGCGTCTTGAAGGTGTTTGTATTATTTATCTCTGATCTGATCTGATCTGATCTGATCTGGAGATGGTTACA